TCAAAATTTTGACATCTCCTTCTCTCTCCCTCCTCGTCTATTGTGTTGTGTTTCACTCTAACGTGTATCGTTCACTCGCCGATCACGTTTCTGTCTATAGTTAAGTTTTTTGATTGTAGCTTTAGCAAAATATACTCAAATTTAAATAAATATATGGAGCAATGACGGGTGTATTTCATATAAATCAACAAATAAAAAATTAAGTAATCGAAACTGTTGTAAAATACTGATTTATGTCGAACTTGATAGCTTTTCAATCAAGCCTTACTGAATGGAACTTATTGTAGAAAGCATCACACAACAATATCAAAAAGTCACATAGCAACGACGGGCCAATTTAGATGCGATATCTACTTCGGTACCCAAGAGTTAATCGTCCTATTTAGTATATTGTGGAGGTATTTAGAAACATATCATTATCCGTGTCATGGCCCTGCGTTCAATAGCTCGTCAATATTTTACCACAATTGGTCCAGTTTTTTTGCGTTGTTATGTAACAAACTATCAGCTTCATAAAAATAGTGTAGGACTTGCCATTGCTCTTTGTAGGCCTCCGGTTTATTAGTAAGACCTACAATATTAATCGTAGTCTTTGATTGATTTTTTTTTTCTTCTCTTGGCTGTGAATCTTTTATTAAAAATGCCATTTATCTAGAACCATTTATTGTACACATGTCATCAATACTATACTAAATGTAGCTGGACTTAAGAAAAGAAACATATTTATCGTAAGGTGCAGCAAGAAAATCAATGTATTGAATATTGAAATACACAACAGAGCTCCAACTCTCGGACTTCTACACATATACCAATATTTTTAAAAGCTAAATATTTGTCGAAAAAGTTATTAGTTGTATGCTAATAAAATATATATAATTATAATAGTTTCTGAAAGTTACGATTTTTTAATAACCAACCACTAAAGAGCAAAATGGTGTGCAATATTGTACATATTGAGGTTAAAACTGTTTTTAATATGAATTAAAGACACCTACGGACACAACTCTACTCATAAATAAAATTGTGAATATTCGTTGGATTGGAAGTCAGGTTTTGGGCTCTTAAATATTTAATTCGGTGATGAAAAAATCTGTGGGATGAAGTAATAATAGACTGGCTGCATAGCTGAGTGGTGGAACTGCTCGCCTTACAATCAAAAGGTTGCAGGATCTATCCTGACAAAAGTCAGTAGCTTTTTGATGGTTAGAAACTGGATCCAGCAGTTCGTGATCATTGGGCTTTTATTAAATAAGTTTGGCTGGTAAAACAGCTGATCTTAGTCAGTAAGAAAAGTAAATAGTTCGTCTCACACCATTCTACTCTTTTCCTTCACTCATATTTTGGGTTAAAATACGCACCTACGCTTCTCCATCTTAATTAATAATGATAATAATGATAAGAGAATTAAAATCTAAATAACCTCCTTCCCCATCTTAATTGATAATGATAATAACGATGAGAAAATTAAAAACTAAATAACCTCTGAGTTATTTGGAGACCTAAAAGTAACTATGTGAACTTTCCTATATTTTAGGTGAACGAGTGATATAAGTGGTGAGAAATTAGTAAGGAAAATTTATCTTAGCGTAAAAACTATAACTATTCATAACTAGCTGTTAGCCCGTTCTACGTACGGGAATCTAGTAGTAAGTTAAAACCTTATATTCAGAACAGGAGTTGGTTTGCATATTTAGTGTGTTTTTTTCCAGATATGATGGCAAAACTATAACTGTTTAGGAATACATATAAACCTTCTCAAATACAATATCTGACAGTTTCAATGCCAAAATGAATGCTTCGCAATTAAATGTCACCCGATCGTGTTAGTCCATATTTTATATCAAACGATGAAAGGAATTGCTTTACAGTATAGATTTATGAGACATAGCCCTAAGGTAGGCCTGTAATTTAAAGTTACTTTTCACACTGGTTAAAAGTAGTTAAAACACTACCTCAACCTCACTACCGCACACTTTATTCGGGTTGAAATTTTTATTAACAATGGTGCTCTTGTCTTTTCCACGAAAAATAAGGACATTAATGCGTTACCAACAGACATACACACACAAATACAGAATTGAGTCCACACATTTTTGAGCCCAGACAGAAAACGCTAAAAATTATACAGTAAGACATCAATTAAATTTAATAAGCAATAAGGTGCAGTGTAGCTTTAAAAACTTACTATGGTTTGCTAAAAAAACTTTAACTTGATGTGGTGTAGTACCGAAGTTATTAATCTCCTTTGGTTTTAATTTTTTTTTAATTTTTCGAAAATCAAAGTTATTTCCCATTAATAGCATTATTTGTAAGCAGCTTTTAATGTTAACCTATTAATGGCAGTTTGAAGAAACCACCTTTATCCAAACAAAGGTTTCTTAAAAGATTACGTAATCTCTAAACGATAATCGGTACATATATCTAGCAAACATTCGGAGGAAATGTGACAAAAAACGCACAAATCTGGGGTTTTGTAAGTTTTTAGTTTTATTTCCTAAGTAGGAAAAGTACCGATATTGTTGTCGAAATGTAAGTAAGTAGAAACCAAAAGTGACATATTGGAAAAGCGAGTTTAGCTACATCTGTTAAAGTTAAGTTAAACCTCCGTTACGGTACGATCACAGCGAAATCAGAAAGATCTTCCAAGATCGCAGCAACATCCACGATCACCCACTGCAGTTGTGATTAAACCGGTTAAGGCACAACGTTTTTAATCTTACTTGGTTTGGTTGGATGTGCTGACTAAACTTGATCGGAAAATGGTTGCGGTATTTGTAAACAACTTTTAATGTAAACATATCAGTGACAGCTAGAAGTGAGAACTAATCCAAACAGCTGATCGTTATTTCATAAAATGTAATAGTAAACATTGGGAGAAAATTTGGCAAAAATCTAACAAAATTGGGTTTTTGGTGGTTCGTTATTTTGTTTACAAAGAAGCGAGGCCATGTTTTTATAGCCAAAGACACTCTCACCAATCCAGTAAATACAGAAAAATTATTAGAACCTTGATCGGTACTCTAGTTTTCTAGGGGTAGGCCGCGTAAAATGACATTTTGGCGTTACAGACGAAGTCACAGAATGGACAAACAGACAAACAGACAAACAGACAAACAGACAAACAGACATACAGACAGAAATTGAGATAAGACTCGTTTCTGCTTTCTTGGGCTATGAAACGTAAAAATAACCAAAAACTGCATGATTCTAAGCAATGTACAGACAAAACTGTAATTTTATTTATATAGATTGCTAAGTGTAAACAAGAACTTGAGCTAGTCGTTACAGTCAAAACATTGACTAACTTAAAACTAAAACAGCCGCAGTTTTTATGGATACCGATTGTGTAAACGCATTACTCAATTACTTCTAGATAGTCTTATCGCTAACAATAATATTAGTATCACTTTATTTTGTGCCGCTGGACTTATGCTTGCATCATGGCTACTTGGTTTGTAATCAATTTTGCTAATAATATCTATTTTACTTATAAGTTTAGTTTCGTTAGCAATTTATAAAGTTCAGGAATAGAAATACAGTAGTATTAATAATCATATAAGTGTGTAAGTAACACATTGGAACATGTTTGGGAATGTTTGTTTTTATTTTGTAACTGTTCCCATAATTTTAAATCGTACTGAACCATGCCCATGGATATAAAAATATTCAAAATATAAAAAAATCTTTGAGGTTCAACACTATTTACTACCAACCTCTCACTAACTACTGCATTATCTTTTCATAACCCAAGAAATAACAAAAGTAAAATAAAATTGCAGCTTTAATACGATTTCTCACAAACTCTTGGATTAATTTCGACGTATCCAGAATCAAGCCTTTGTTAATATTTTTGTAATTTTTGTCAATATTTTTACAACAAACAAACCATAAAATATACCATAATTACTACAATAAAATCAACCATGAAAGAACAAGTTTTTTATCCCATAATCAAAATTGAAAGTAGGTTACTTTTGAATGTTTTCCATCTTATCTACCTATGTTTTATTGTTGCTCTACTTTCGCATTTAAATTTGTTTGCACGGAGATTTTCTAATCTCTGCGAATGTAATACGTGAACATTTCGCAATGTTGACAAAATTAGTAACTTACATTTTATAAACAAATTTTATATTTAAATGTTTTAACATACAGAGTTGAGCCAACATCTCAACATAAGTGATATTTAAGGAAAATGGGTTTTATTGTTGTAATGTGCAGTTATATTATATTTTACTGTACAATTTTGTGTAGTTATAAAAAATAATATTTCTCACTCTTTTTTAAAAGCTGAAAATAAAAAATAACTTTGCTAAATTTTATGAACACGATTTAAAAACATTGTAAACTGTTTTATGAAGACTGATTTATTTTTCATAAGTGTAACATTTGAGGCAGTGTTAATATTCCAACGTATTTAAGTAACCATCAAGCAAAAAATAAAACAGCGTTTTTTTTTATTGATTTCTTTTATGAGCTGATTATAACTGTGAAAAGAGAGATATTAACCATACTCTATTGAGAAAAAACTGTTTCCAAAAATAGAAATACTTTATTTAACATGTCTGTCCAAAAATATTATTTAATTTTTAATATTAATCCATCCAGTAAATTGATTAAATAATATTAATCTGATACAGTGTTAGGTAATGAATACAAATAAACCGTACTGACTTAATTAAAAACTAAAAATTGTGTATTCCTAATGTACAATATGAAAAAATTACATTTTCGCTTCAATACAACTCATTCGAACAAAGCCCTCTGAAATTTCAGGCTCATATGACAAAATCCCTCTTCCAATCGTCCCGAAATTGTCCCAAAATTAGTCCATAACCAAAGCCCGACAACCAAGATATAATCTTGAGAACTTTGACAAGAAACTGAAGACTGTCACGTGATTTTCATCATGCTTTTCTCAGTGAAGGTAAAAACCTCCATTGCATAGTTGCATACAAGAAAGTTGTATGTTTTACCGTGAGTCCTTGGGCGTGTAGAGGTATATAGACGCAGCTCACAGCGCCGACCCAGTCTATAGTGTTACTTACTGAGTGCGTCATACCGTTTACTGACTTCGACATAAACTGGATTATTTTCTCGTTTTGAAAATTGGTAAGTGAATTTTGCGATGTTTATAGTGTAATTTAACACTTGCAGAATCTGTACAACTCATTGAGTTTTAAGTTATTAATTACTATTAGATAGTTAACTTATTACATTTGAAAATTAATGTTACGTGTTTATGTGTGAGGCTGTTCAATTTTTTATTTTTTTTGTAAGGGTACGACTCAGCTTGGATTGAACTAGAAACCCTCAGATTTGAAAAAATGCACTATTACCACTCGAATGCCCAGAAAATTGCGTTACTGAACCTATAATTCTGTTTATCTTCGTAAACCTCAAACTTAAAATTCACGAAAAAACAACATATTAATTTTTTAAAGTCTCTGTAATTTTGACATTTAAATGCCTTATCATTGTGTGGCGTGGTGTGTGGTTATGCAAGGATGAAATATTAGTGAATCAAGCAAATAGAGGTATGTACAGTACTATATTACCTTTGACTATTAATACAACAACTTCTGTATCCATAGTCAATGATATTACTTTTAACATAAACTAAATAGGCTTACAAATTAATGCCGCTCGTGCTGGAGCTATCTTGTAGCGTTTAACGGGTGCGCAGCTGGTTAAAGCGCGTGGCTTCGCTACCAGTGCTTCGGGTTCAAATCCCGTTAATCTCCATAGATTTTTAGGTACTTTATACGTGGTCTGATGGTTCAGATACCGTTGTAGATTTACACATAGGAAATAAAATAAAACACAAAGTATAAGCAACTCAGTTAATTTAATGGGAAGGTCCTCTATATCGGAAGGTTATATCTACTCAAAGACGTATAAAGTTCAAATTTATTTTTTCTCCGAATAACTATATGTTCTGAAGTGAAAGTATATAATCAGAATCAAACCACTATCCATCTATACTAGAGATTTTTTGTACATTTTTGAAAGTGAACTGTATGAACCCTGGTCTTATTTACTCGAAACCTTTAGTTAGTTAGCATCATTACCTGACAGCGCAATATTACAAATGACATTTGGGTCCAAACATGATCACCCACTGGGTCGGTCTATAGAGAGAATATTTATTAAAAGACTTACATGAGCTAACGTATGTAATGTAAAGACAATATAAAACCCTAGTCAATTTGTGATTGGTTGTTGTGATTGTTACTAATCTATTGAATACCGTGATAGAAATTACCAGTTTGCAATTTTTTTACCATCAAACACAATATAGTATTCCCTTAATTTTCTCCCTCGCAGTCAAGAGTTTTCTTCTGTACTCACAGATATTCTTCTCTCTTAATGTACAAACTATATTTATATCTGTGAGGGATGGCAAACTTGGATGGATCAACTAGTTTATCAGACTAAGGTGATTAATAAGAGGTGTCCATCAATTTGGTTATTTATACATGTATTTTTGTAAGGGATTTTACTTAAATGTAAATCTAAGTGTTACGCATATTTCTAATTGCAAAACGAACCAATGCCAGAACCAACCAAAATGCTCTAATTGTTGAGAACCTGTTCACCTAGAGCTGACCCTAACCAGACAAGGCCATGTTCGGAGTTCCCAATAAGCTGTGATCTAATATCACTACTCAATTTCATTTGGGGGCCAAATAGATTGACGGGGATAACCCCTCTAGGGTGAATTACTAGAAAATCACTATGGGAATACAGATTAGTACAATAATTAAAAACTATTGTTGGATTTACAAAGGCTAAAAGTTAGCATAAATAAAAGTGGTAACATATGTATATATTTTATTCCAATTAGGCTTTTCACTTGAAAATATCTTTTTGTTAATATCAAAGTTTCATGTTATATAGTTATAATTGTAAATATTTCTAGGCCTGATACGTTTGCCCAATACGTTGACAGCTTTGAGTAAATGAGTAGTACTTTCTTGAATATATGAACGAAATTTCTTAGTAGAAGAAGAAAATTATTGAAAAACATTGTTTAAACCTAGTATTAACATATACTATTTTTTTATACTGTAAAATCTCTATAATACGAGTATTATGATCAAATTTGGCAAATTTATTTATTTCATACTACACCTTAAAATCTTACAAAAACACTTTACCCCTTCCTCTTAGCAACAAACCTAAGTACTCTTTAATTCTAACGTGTTTTTTATTATGTGAATGCATTTACCATGCTAAAACAAATATTTTAGTAAAAGTCCAATTAGACAAATGTAAGTTATGCTTAGTTTACAGATTTGCTGTGGTGGGGGTATTTTTTGTACGATTGCTTTTAAAATAAAGAATATATAGTTAAAAAGTAGTCATATTTTGGTACCAAATTAAATAAAAAAATTCTGTCCACTTTGTAATAGGTAATTCTTAATCTATTACTTATGTAATAAGAACTTAATGCCGTCAATTCTACCAGGCTAAAATAAAAAAAGCTATAATGATATAGTTATGTAATAGTACAATTCAATTGTTCATTGTAAAATTAAACTGTATCATTGTTTTGATCAACTCTAGTTGGAGATCTAATTTTGTTTTTTAATGTTCACCAATTTATATAATTTTTGTAATTTTCTTCTCGTGGCAATATTTGTTAGGAACTATTAGGAATTGTTAGATTCATTACTAGTTAGGTAATAAGATAATTTTTTGTAAATTAACTCAGTTTTACGTTTTGTAGATAGATCCCACACACTGATTAGCATTTACTGGTAAATCTTTTTTGTTTCACGAGTTTTATCTTAAAAAATTTTAGTATCATTATCACATAAAATCCAATTTAATTTGTTCCATTATGTATTTAGGCACAAATTTCCTATCACCTTTATGAGATCCTGTTATTCATTCTATTCATATAAGGCATACACACAATTAAAGGATCAATACAATGACGATAAATAATTTATTTTGAATTGAATTCAATTAACCACAATTATTACGCAATTCCAAGTAATAAACGTTACAAAACTAAATTTTAGAACAACTTAGAAATGCGTGAATACGAATGTTACGATTTTTCCCTTGGCTTAAGAAAACAAAAAAACTCACCGTAAATTTTGCGCCACTGAGAAAATAAAAAGGAAATCGTCACGTACCTCAGTTTCTATGCTAGATACACTGTTATTAATGTTATTATAGCGCATATCATATTAAAGGTGCTTCGACTCATAGTCGCAATACTAGTCTACTTAATAACACGTCCTCTACTTGCTATAATAACAGAACCAATATAATAGCACACAATATAACAGCATATAATACAACTTACTCGGTACTTGCAAGTACCGGAGGCCGATTTAAGTTCGGTTGAATTTAATTTTAGCTAATCTTTTTATTATGTCTTATTTGCTAACACATCTATCTATCTATCTATCTATAATATTAAAACGAAACAGGGTTTTTTATTTCACGATTCTGAATCAACGGATTTTCATTATTTTTGTGCTGAAAGAAAAATAATTTTGAGAACTAGGGAATGTCGAAGCCATAATTTTAGTTTAGGGTCCCAGTTGTTTAGAAATTAAGTTTTTATTTTTGAAAAGTCTAGCAGCCGACGCTAAGATTCTAAACTAGCTTTTGGTGCGGTGTAATATAATTAGTTTAACATAACAGCTGTAAACATTCAGTGTTTGTAACACAAATTCAGCATTTGGATAAAATTAAAAGACATACTAAGGGTTGACTTATTTATACTATGTGTAATGCTAATTATTGATACGTTCAATTCTTCTGTAAGAGGATGACAGATTATTTAAATATACATAGGTAAAATACTAGGATGTTCAAAGGATTTTTTTAAATAAATCTTTGTAATCTTCGGTTTGTTTTAGTTCAATATAATTTTCTTTTAACTAACAGCTGGTTAAATATAAAAATGATCTGTAGAACTATGAGGTTATTTTATTTACTCTGATTTGTCGTTGATTTTTAGGAAATAAGTAAGACCACCGAGAAAAGTAACACCATCGATGTATACAAGTCGAGGCTCTGTACACGAGTCTTAAAAAAAGGATATGCAAATTATTATACTGCTCAACTTTTTTAGGAAAGGGTAGAAAAACCCATTTTTAGACGTTTTAATTCATCTTGGTTTGTTTACAATCAATGTTTTTGAATGATTAAACTTTGTTTGAATTAGGCCCGGAAATATTGATGTCATAAAGAAGGAGATCAAGAATTCTCAGGAATACAATTTTAAATTACCACCACAACTCGGGTTTTATCCAAAGATATACAGATATGAATGACATAGGTTGAGCACAACGTCATCATTGACCTAGGATACTGCAATAATTAGACTAACCATCCTTTTATAAAATCTAAAAAGCTGTTTGGCGTGTGTTTAGTTGTGGTTACGTTTGGAGGCGCTGAATATTTTATAGTTTAAATAAATGAATATGGGGAATTACGGTGTATATTGATTCATTGAGGGTGGTTTAATTATTAAGGATATTAGAACTGATAACGGAATGGACAATAAACATAGACAATTAATTACGTCACTAGCTTTACTAGCGTGTTTTACGTTTTAAATTCCTTCAACATGTGACCAGTTCTTTTGTTCAAATGAATATTATTTTATTTTTGACTCAGCTGTTTACCAAAACAAACTATATGTTGTTGTTTTTACTTTTCTTTGTTTACACTTATTTATTAAACAATTGATGCAGTGAAATTGATATAAAGGATATGTGTGGACGATTCGTTTAATGATGTCAGGACACCAACGTTATAATTATGTGTACTGTTAATTTTATTGGATGTTTTCGTTTTATTTTAGGGAGTTTCTATTCAGACCTACTGGAAATTGTGTATATGTAGTATGAGTAATTGTATTGTGGTGATATTGATTATGGAAGAGGCAGGTATGCGATGGAATTGGAAGGTGATATCGTTGACTAGGCCTATACACTTCTCAATTGATAATTACTCTTTCTACTGTAGGCTGCTATAAAATTTGTCTTTATACGTGTAAGCTAGCTGTTCTGATTTATACACAGTTTTAACTCACTACTCCCGTACGTAGGACGGGCTAACACCTCGTTATGTTTTAATATTCATTACTACACAGTACAATTTGCATATTTAATATTTTACGTTGTTTCAAAGTAAATAGACTTTTAAAGAATTAATTAGACATTAAAAGCACCTGGAATAATTTTTAATATTTTAAAATATTAATATTACTTTTCTATTTTAAATGTAATAAGGTACAGACTAAAATCGTAGTAAAACAATGATTTTTTCTGTAGTTGACTACATTAAATTCTGTAATTTAATCATTCGAAGAGATAGCCAGACTATAGCAACCCACAAATACATAATTTAAAAACATAACTTTTACGACACATAAGTAACTTTATACAATATAATAAATCTAGCTATACGCCTATTAATGGAAACTATTATGGCTAGAATGTTTAAAGATTACACTGTTAAATTAGGTTGTGAAGTTAGCCTATAACTTTCATAAATAGATGCTATACTTTTCTTATTACAGTACCGAGATTTACTGGGTGCTGATGTTGGATTATGCTGAATAAAGAGGTTGAATAAGTTCAAGAACGCCTTCGTGTTTTGCTGTAAAGCTAACTCCAGAAAAACTTTTAACAAGGTTACAATAAAGTTTTGGATTCACGCTTATTTGGTCAACTTGATTTGAACAAAGTTTATTTTCCTAAGATGGCCACTGTTAAATGCTTAAACACTCATCATGACTAGGTTAAATAAATCGGATAAGTAAATTCAAACCCTATAATCAGCATATTGGGTGAGAAGTAATGATTGTTTTCAACTTTTTCTCGGATCGGTTTTTTACAGCTCGAATTATATGCATGTCTTACGTATAAGATTAGTACTGTATTTGTAATTTAGATTGAGCAATGGAAAAATCACTACAAAATTGTCTGAGTAGCCGAGTGCTTTATACTCCCCTTCAAGTCTCAAGTCGCTGGTTCGATTCCAGATTAATGAGATTTTGTCTTTGGGCTATCAATAATTAATGCAACCTAACACAAATGTGAACGTTAGATAGTAAAAATACAAATGTATGGACAGTTCCTGTTCAAAAATGTTTCAAAATGCTAATAGCGTAGATACGCACTAATAGCTATAAAGTATCTAGATGATAGCAAACCAACAAAGAAATATTCCATTGTTGTTCAGGCTACTGATATTTAATTGAATATGACATTAAGTTAAGTACATAATATAGTTTATCAAAGTGATATTAATTTTTAATCATTCATAAGTTGTTTTCATATTTTTAATTCAAATTGTACCTTTTTAAAATTACTCAGACGTTGATTCGTCAATTAATTGTTTGCGTTTCAACGCGTGGTCGGATTATATAACCCTTACATTGTAATCTGGGTCAAGTCTAGGTTAAACCCTGACTCAATTCAGGTGCGACTTACGTAATAAAAAACTACCACAGCATCCCACTGTCTTTGTGTGAAGTCTGGAACAAAAATCGTAAACCTCGATTCCGAGAAGCCGGGTTTACTGAGAAAAATACCAGAGAAGATTGAGCCAACAAAAACTTGTGAAGGGCAAGGGGTGAATGATTCAGTGAACGGAAGCGAATTACGCGCGGTTTTGCGACCTTGGCACAACTGAACTTGACTTATATCCGACCGGTAGCGACAGACCTCGGGCGAAGGCGCGGCGATCTAGAGCAAGGCGGGCGTCGAGCACGCGCTGATCAGTTATGTAACAAACAGCAAGGTAGGCGGGGGCGAGGAAAACTGAGAGTTGTCTTGAGGAAGAATCAAGACAATTCGAGGACAATTCCGGAGGAAGAGTACGACATTTTTAAGTGTTAATGTCTCGTACTCCCTTAGTATATTTGTCATCCTTATGGAACAGCTAAAGCCAATTTTATTGTTAGTTCTGACCGGTGCACTGTAGAGGTCGTTTTGTTTACACTTTGTTTCTTGTTATTTCAGTGATTTAAAACCTCGTTTAACCAAATAAAAGGTATAATCATAAACAATAACTTGTTCCCTAGTTTCATATTATAACCAAACAGTAAAGTACAAATGATAAAATCAACCTCAAAATAATAGAAATAAAATTTCATTGACACTAGCACCCAGTGTCACCAACTTAAACTACACATGAAAATAAGCTTCAGAAATTTACAATGGGACGATAAGTCTACTTGTGTTGGTTAGTCTATAGTTTTACTAAGAGGACTGAGATAGCTGGGTAGAGTACCTAGTTAAGGTCGCCGGTTCGATCCTGATACAAGTCGGTACCTTTTTGTTTAGTACATATAGTGAGACCTGAATAAGAGGACTCGCAATATGGCAAGTCACCCTTGATAATAAGTATCATTTTTAAAAACCCTTGATTTAATAAAAACTTGGAAACATCTTCCCAATATTAAGATTTAACTAGTTAAATTGGGAACATCGGAACATGGGATGTCTATCTCAATACCCTATCCAAAAGTCAATTATACACTATACTTTTAAATGTACTGTGTTTTAAAATAACATGTTAAAACAGTTGGTTTTCTGCCGTAGGAACCCAGAGTTTGAGATGGAGGCGAAACAATTCACCGAGTTCGCCAAGACGATGGTGGACTACATCAACAACTACTTAGAAAACATCCGAGACAGGTACAATATTATTACATATTGATAGTGATTAACAGAAAGTCATAATAAATGTTTTCTGTTTTTTTTTACAATAAACAATCTTTACCAACAGGTTAAATGTATTCTGTCTTCTGTCCAATGTGTTCTCTTAATCGTGAAATATTAAGTTTTTAAAGTACAGGTACAGTACTTACATTGAATAAGTGTCTAGGAATTAAAGGAGACAAAACATTGCAGTTAATACGTTTAAGTGCAAATAACCCAAACAACATTTTCAAAGGTTCTTGTTTTCATAATTACAAAACTCAAAATATAGGCAAAACAACATCTTACAAACTAAAACTTTACTAATGATCCTTATTAACAAGCTGGCCATCAGTATCAGTTGCTGGATTGCTGGTATGTGCTGTGTGCAAGAAGGTAGGTGAAGAACACTTGTCACTATTAAATTTTTTATAAGAATTTTCATAAATCCTGGCTTTGACATGGAGGGATTTCCTCTTCCATAAAATTCCGCTACCCTAAAAAAAAAACTCAGAAGATTGAGTAAATTAAGTTGTTTGATACTGGTTATCCTTACAAGCTTTTTAAGGTAGGTGACCGCTTTCAAGAATTTGAGAATCTGTTGAACTATATGACAAAAGTTTTGATGATAGTTGTGAGTTTTAATAAAATAACATGAATCAAGGAATCTATCTACAAAAGTTCTTATAAAATATTGTTTAGGGTACCTACCTACTATTGTGGAATTTACTTTCAGAACAACCCTACTATCAATATGAATTACAATTTTTTAATCAAACCCTGGTCTTACTACTTGTCAATCGAAGCAACATCAGGTAGGCTGAATAAGACATCCGTATTACCTAAAATCATCAAATACATCAGTTAATTATTATGGCTTTGGTATTTTTTTTACAACTGGTAGCAATCCTAAAAAAACAGTATATATATTCTTAGTATCTAAGTAATGATTTCATTGAATAAATACATCATTAGTAAGCAGAGTATCCGTCCTTTATGTGGGTTTGGCAGATAAGTATAAAATGCTTATTGCAGTTATACTCGTGCTTTGCTTTTGCAATGGAAGAGGACATGTTTTAAGAAAATTTTGTTTACTATAATTTACGGTATACTATAGTATAGCACACATACCATAGCCATAATGTTCTACCATGCACCTAAATAATAAAAAAAATTAAGTTCTCACAGCTTTTTGTTGCTGCTTGGTATTAGCTCTTGTCATAAATGCAAAAAGAATTAATAGAGCTGCACCCTGTTGGTAAACCTTATAACCTTTTGATGCTTTTGAATATTATAGAACCAATTTGTGTAGTTTAAAAAAGCTGGCAAAATTCCTTTTAAATATGAATAGGTACTCATAAGGTTAACATGGGAAACTCTAGAGCCACTGTGGTGGAGCCCGCAAGGATTTTTGAGATAAGAATACGTCTATATGTTAATCAGGAATGTGAGCTATCATCATACCAAATTTCAACCCAATGCGACCAGTATTTAATGCGTGTTTGAACTTCAAACAAACAAAAAATACACAAACAAACAAACACACAAACTTTCATATTATCATAATATTAGTATGATTTCTTCTGATCTTAGTATGATTTCTTTGTTAATGAATGTAAGATGACCAGCACCCAGAAAAAAAAACTTGAGATATTTGGGCTGTTTCCCCTCAAATTTGAGATTCTTCCTATTAAAAATTCTTGTAAAGGAGGTCCATTAACGAAAAAAATAATTTGTTGTTGTTATTTGTGTAATTTGTTTGTTTGTTGTCTATAATATAATTAGTCAAGAAACCTACTGTAATCTTCATTATGAAAATTTGAATTTATAGCTAAAATAATATACCAGATAAAGAGCTGTAAGAATACATACCCCAATGAAAGTTTCAAGAGATACGGGAACAAAATGGGGAAATATCTCAAGCCGCACAGGACGAAGTGCAACGGCAGACATGAAAACCAGAGACTTTTGTCTCCTCAGTTCTAGTTGATACCATGGACAGAAATAAACTGATTTGTGAATCAACAGGCCCTAAAAAACGGTTACGTTAAAACACAAATATAATTTAATTCAACCGTCCTTTCTATATGATAAAATGCCCCTTCTGAAAATTTGTAAAAATTATCTTCTTTTTGATGGTCAAGTGAATTGTTTTAAAGATTTGTCAAATATTTTCTAAGTTTCTCTCAGTAAATCAGCATTCAAATAAAGCATACTTTCATAATCCGTAATTTAGACATTGTCTACCTACTTGTTTTTTGTAAGCAAATTCTATAGAGAAAAAGTAAAATTGTAATCAGTACACATTTTTTTACAGTACTATCTTTAAAATAAACAAACTCTAAACACTGTCTATTTTCCTTCCTTCCAATTTTACTATATTGAGTAAGTTTTTTTATTGTCTGTGTAAGCTCTTAAATTCTGAAAATGTTTTTAAATGGGTTTGATAGAATTAAAATCTAGTAAATGATTTAAAGCAAAATCCTTTTTGCACTTTAAAATGCTCATCAGGAGAAAACAAATAATCAGCGAGATAAAAACTTATGTTATTAAATAGAACTTCTGATATTTGTGCCTGATATTTATTTTAGTATTAATCCTAGTATTTAAACTCACATGTGTGCACAGCTGTTCACCATACCAACAAAATAGAAACAACTCCAGAAGAGGAAGAGACATTAGTAAAACGTAGCGCAGAAAATGGAAACTCGTAATTGATGACTGAAAAAAATTATAAAGTTATTAGTCAACTAACTTATTTGTCTAACCAATCTAGGTATTACTATGAACTGTATGATTTTTATTCTAAATTACTTGGTAAACTATCGTGAACTTCAAAATGTTCTTTTGGCCAAGATACAACTAATAATGAGGAATATAAATAAGGGACAGAAATCTCTAAGTTATCTTTATAATTAGCTAAAACTATGAAAATTACCTGGGAGAGTGTTAAAGCGCAAAGTAGAATCGGCAGCGATAGAAATAGAAGCTTCAAAAGAACAATGACATGGAACAAGGAGTTGATCAAGGACATGATGCTGAAAAAAACACAAAATTTGGCTCTTAAAAAGAAATGAAAAACTTAAGATATATTGACGTTTACATGTTAATGCTACAAATAAGAAGAAGTATATCTTTCTACCAGTATCTCTTGTACGAAAAAGCAGGCAATCCTTCATGCAGATTCATCAAAGTATAGCCTTCAATGATATGATGCATAATCTTAAACCAATAAATATTTGCTTAAACTCCGCACTACAGCTATGTAGTGGATATTCTGTCATTCGCTATCTTTAGCTTGAATAGTTACATCCACTCAAATCTGAGAAAATAAATTAGGAGTGTCACTGTTTGTAGTGCCTCCTTTACAACTGGTGTCAGTTACTAAAATGTAGGTTAAAATCTTACCTCAAAATGTTTTGATGATATTGAATCAAACTTCTCAAATCACGTTTTTGAATAAGCTCCTTGTTGGACATAGCAAGAGAAACATCTCTCCTGCCGATAATCATATTATTCTCAAGCATGTGTGACAGACTTCTGAAGTGGTAGCAAATGCGGATAGAGATGATCGGAATGATGACGCTGAAGATGTAGAGAGAAAAGCAAGTGAGCAACATCGCCACAAGATTCAATGGCTTGACAACTTCATAGTACGGGGATACAGTTTCATCAAACGGTAACCAAATGTCTACAAACAACTTATGCTCCGGATACTTCTTCTTCCAGTAGGCCTCGCTTGCAGGATCTCTTGCAGAACCAATCATCAACTTGATGAAAACCTGGATGACAGCGACAAAAGTCCCCGCAGCAAAGATTAAATTGATGCGTTTGGCGTGTTTTTCGTAGCAGGAGTAGAACTGACTATTGTGTGAAAAATTTTGGAGTCCTTTCAGATTTTCTACGATGGTCTTCAGTTTTTTGCTATCCCATCGTAACAGAAACCGCTGTACAGTTATGATCAGGATGTACAAAGATTCAAATAGACTTTCCACAAAGACACTGTAATGTTTATAATCCTTGCTGTGGTAGGTGTGCATGAATTTGAGAAATACGTAGGTCAGTTGGAAAGAATCAACAGTTTTGGCATAGACGTCGTAAGCAGCGGTTTTCCAAGGTGAGTCCCAATCTTCTGGGTTCCACAATCCCCCAACAGTCATGGCTAACAACACCATAGAAATGGAGTCTCGGGCCATTTTAAGATGTCTATCACACAGCCAAACTCTGAGTGTAATTCTAAAAAGATTCACAGTTACAAAATGATATTTTCCTACTAATTATAGGAAGATTTTTATAAGAACCAAAGCAATTTCCATACTATACTCAAACAAAAGAAGAAACTACTTTCAAGTTATTCTTTAATGAGGTGAAATTATAGGCAAACCTAAGAACAGTTGAGTAGGACAAAAGAAATGATACTTTTGTGTTACTTTGTTGTTTGAGTTGCAAATTACCGCTTTATTTACTCCAGGATTCTTCGAAAAGGAACAAAGATTTCTTTGTCGGTATTTCTCATTATTTTTCTGTTCTAAGAATATAATTTGTATAGAGTTTTGTTAAAACCTTGGGAAATCATAGCTAGACGAAACTAAGTACCAATATTGCAACATTACCACAACTACTTGAGAAATCAAAACTGTATCACTTTTCAAATTTGTACAGTATGGAAATAAAAAAGCTACATTTTGATGAAGTAAAAAATTGAAAATATAGATATTAAAACTTTAAGCTATCAATATATTACTAGGCTCACAATATGTTTAATTAAAACCTTTTTTCTCAGCTCGGTGTTCACTCCAGGGACAATCATCTATCCATACTGTTCTGTTAGTTAGAAAGATATTTTCCTGCAGATGTGCAAAATCCCTTCATAAATTAAAATAGGCTAAACCGCTTATTATTACCGCAAAGCATAAAGGAGTTTGGGCGAAGAGATCCCTAGGGTTGCAGGGAGCAAAAGAAGAAAGAGCCGGGTTGTATGTTTGGTTTTGTGGAGGGTGGACTCAGCTCACCTACCTAAAAACTGTTTCGGAGCCGGTTTAAGTTGTGAAATTAGTTACGCCTGATTAACCTTACAGCTGTAGTCAGATTTGGAGCTGGGTAGACCCGCTCAACAATAAAATCTCTAAACACAGATGCCTACACATGAGTTCGTAAATAATAGTAAAATAAAAACAATGAATGTAGAGTTTTGTCATACACTGCACTGACATATGTCATGCAATTGAAACCCATTAATATACTTTTTCTCTCCAACCTTGAACTGTATCATTTTATTTAAGTGAAAAATGATCTTGTACAATCTGATGCTTAATTAACTCATTTTCAAAAGATAACAAGCATAACTCCTAGCAAATTCAAAACTGTGCCACGGCAAGTATTGGCATAAAAAAGATAGTTGAAGCTATAAGACAGAAAATAGCAAATCAACCAACTTCCACCATCTATTTATGTATATTGTTGGAAATGTGTCTCAGTCTTCGTGATAAAGCCTACAATAGTATTGAGTATTGCTTCATCTGAATTGAGCAACAACATTGTATAATGACATTTGTTTTAACAGCAACACAACCATTGTATTAGCGGTGTTCAAGAAATAAATACTGGATCAACAACTGTAGTAAGAATAATTTTTGCCTGAAGAAGTGCATTCGAACATTTGTCAATCCGTAAAACTATGCACTGAGGACAAAATTTAAATTTGGAAGTAGATGAACAATCTGTTTTGCTTTCAAATTTGACGCTTCCGAAAATCATTTCACCTTTTAGAGTGACATTTTACAAATATTTAATTATGTACCGTAGCGAACTATATTAGAAAAGTTGGGCTGTGGAGCTTAACTCTAAATTCAGAATTCCCTAAACTTTGAAGAAACTCTGAAAACCTAAAAGTCCACATCGAATGCTTAAATTTTATAATGCAAAAACCAAAACTTATAGCGGAAGCTATGTGACCCCTCCCCTCCCATCCTCCAACATCCCTCTAACAACCTGCTACATAAGCAATTGTATCATAGCACAACAAAAAGTAGACAACAGATGACACTAATGTATTTCTAAGTTCTTTCTTGAAAAAGTTTGAAACCCTTAAAAATTATATCTAAGGAAAAAGAGAATTCCTGGAATGTCATTGTTCCCTTTGAAATAATTTATTTTTACATTAAAAACTTAGTTTATATATTACTAGCTGTAACCCGCGGGCTTTGCCCCGTTTAACTTCTTAATTTTCAAGATTATCTCATTCGCATGGCTCAATCACGTCCTGGTTGAAGTTTGTTCGCTACGCTCACTCACCTTTAGGTTGGAGCTCGTTTCGCTACGCTCACTCACCTTTAGGTTGGGGCTCGTTCGCTGCGCTCACTTGCCTTCAGGTTAGCTCGTTCGCTACGCTCACTCACCTTTTGGTTGCAAATTAGCTGTTGTCATAAATGTAAAAGAAATAATAGTGCTGCACCCTGTTGGTAATCCTTGTAACTTTAATGCTATTGAACATCATAGAACAGAACCAACAAGTGAGCGCGGCGAACGAGCTCCAACCTAAAGGTGAATGAGCGTAGCGAACGAACTTCAACCAGGACGTGATTGAGCCATGCGAACGAGCTCACTTATGAAGTAAAACGGGGCAAAGCCCGCGTACAGCTGAGTGAGCGTAGCGAACAAACCTCAACCTGGAGGCGAGTTAGCGTAGCGAACGAGCTCCATTCTAAAGGTGAGTGAGCGTAGCGAACGAACTTCAACCAGGACGTGATTGAGCCATGCGAACAAGCTCACTTATGAATTAAAACGGGGCAAAGCCCGCGGGTACAGCTAGTTTCTCATAAGGTTAACAAGGGAAACTCCAGAGCCACTGGGGCGGAGCCCGAAAGGATTTTTGAAATAAGAATATGCCTATATGTTAATCGGGAATGTGAGCTATCATCATGCCAAATTTCAGCCCAATCCGACCAGTATTTTTCGCGTTCACTTGTCACAAACATACATCCATACATCCATACATCCAAACTTTCTCATTTATAATATTAGTAGGATACCCCCAACAGTAATTTGCTCAATAACTTAATTTGCAGACAACGCTCGTAAATATTTGTATGTAGAATATTAATCTTTATTTATTTGTATGTCTTTTGGTAACTTTCTTATCTAATTTCTAATAAATGTCAATTTCTTTCAGACGAGTTCTACCAACGGTCCAGCCAGGTTACCTTCGACCCTTGATTCCCGATGAGGCTCCACAAAACCCCGAGAAGTGGCAAGATGTAATGAAAGATGTTGAGAGAGTCATCATGCCTGGTGTAAGTCTTCAGATAATCAAGTTTTGTTGATGTTTAACTATTAGTATGCACTACTCGGTTGGTAGTAATTGGCTAAATAAATCATCTTGGGTTATTGTTACATATAAAAGTCATAGTGATATCGATTTATCCAGAGCCACGTAAAACTATGAATTTGTCAAACACCCCAGGTTTTGAATCTTGACTTAGCTTAATAAGAACTAATTCTCTTATTCAATTTCACCTGGGTTGCTAAACTCCACTCTTTAGTAGTTGGACTCCATTGAATAAAGGTTAAGGAGCAAAAAAATTATTACTGGATGGTATTATTTTAAGGCTGTCCCTTAAGGGGCAATACATTTCACATTCCTTTAATAAATCTTTTTGGTATTTTCATCTCAGTGTCTCATAATAAATTAATATGTTCTTCTGGTTTATTTCGATGAGTCGGTGGCTTAGTGGGTAGCGCCACGGACTTTGGACCCATGACATGATTACGTTTTGTTTTATTTACATTTCGCTTTGATTTTATTTTGTTATGAAACTATTTTCTACCACACAATGGATTAAATTCAACCAATGAGAATTTAACAAAACAATTAACAGAACAAATTATTTTTTCTTGTAAATAGTTAGTGTAATTGTTTTCCACTGTGTTCAAGCATTCCTTGAATGTTTACAAACCTCTGGAAACTACGTGTACAAAGACGTTAAAAAAAAGCATTTACTCTTCAAAATGCATTACAGTATATTGGCAATGTCTGTGGTCAGTGCAGATCGTAGATCTTTGGCCATGTTCCAACTCATGAGCCAAGTATTTGATATTGGCCTAGTTATTCCCAAGGCCGCCCTTTCTAACAGGATCCTTATCATTAGTCTCTGTTTTATTGTAACCAAGTTTCCTTCCTCAATGTGTCCTTGGATAGTTATTGATTCCAGAGTATTATAACTGTTTGATTAAACGAGAAAAATATTTGATGAAAAATGTATAACTGATGTACTAGAAAGTAGGTACCAGAAGGGAGATGGTTTTTTTTTTCTTGATGTCTCCACCGGTGGCATTTTTACATATGGAATCACAAGAGGATGTACTAAAACGCTTTAAGGAAAGGGGTCCAAACCCATATGTGTTGTGGATGTACCAGGAATCGAACCCGTCCCTCCCGCACCAAAGTCCGAGACGCTAACCACTACGCAACACACCCTGGTTTAAAAGAAGATTGTATTACTTGCTTATTAGTAAATTGTATAACAATTTTTGTTTGAATTATTTAGTAGGGCCTATATCTGGGAAGTTCCTTTTCAACAAAGATTATAAACAGGGTGTTTTTTTTTTTTTTTTAATTGCTTCTTTATTTATGTAAAATTGCAATAGATATAAATATGCAGCTTGCAGGAATCGTTTATTGACGTCGGGGTCACAATTGTTGTGAATTTAATGTGAAGTTCCCATTCACCCCCTTTCTCCCCCTACCCTTAACTTAAAACATTTAAATTGCAAGGTACCCCTATTGACATATCAAATGTGAGGGCATGAAAAATGAAAAAGAATGGTGTAAACTCTCTACGTCAATCCTATCAAAAGTTATGGCAACTCAAAATTTGAATTTTTCACCCCCTTTTTTAAGAAAAACATGTTTTTTTAAACGGCTGTAGCTCGAAACCGGTAAGAGCTAGCAAAGATTTGAAAGAATTTTCATTGTCAGGAATTAAATTTTCTACAAAGCACTCTTCAGCGTTTTCCGAAAATCACACTCCTTCACCTTAAAAAATCGCCCTATTTCTAAAATTTGTAAAATTTCTCGGATTTTTACGGTTTTTTCATTGAACAAGCTAGTCACACCTTAGAAAAATGCTTGTTCAATTGCAATTATTTTTTTTTCATGCCCCCTATTCATGCATGAGCTATGGTATTGATATTGATCATGACCTTGAATGTATGTGAATGACAAGGTGATTTTGCAGGTGACCCACTGGCATTCTCCCAGGTTCCACGCCTACTTCCCCACGGCCAACTCTTACCCTGCCATTGTGGCTGATATGCTCAGCGATGCCATTGCTTGCATTGGCTTTACCTGGGTATGGACATTTATAAATTATATGTTTGGTAAAAAAAAGTTTTTTGAAAAAATTCAGACTCAACCTCTCAACAAATCACAATGCTTAACAGCGGTTAACACAGTTTTTTTGCTCAATAAAATTGAACCTCTTGTAACCATTGTCATAAATATTGTTTTTAATAGATTTAAGCTTTTTTGAATTAAAAATAGAGTGAAAATAAATAAAGTAAAATAAAACAAATTTTCTCAAAAAATAAGATCTTCTTTCAAAAAAATTAAGAACTTCCAAAAGACTTTTTTGCATGGAGGTTCCTTGAATTTCAGTAGATTGATATGATTATAGATTGAGTGCAGGAATGATTCTTATGGTATTTTACCCTCCTAAATACCACTTATTGAAATGGTCAAACATATACTGCATATGATTTCATTTTTATATTTTTAAACGTTTAATCTTCATTTTTAATAAACTATTGAAGAAAAGAAAAAAACTCTAAAGCTATCGTTAGAAACTACCATACCAGAAACTTATTTTGAAAACCCTTAGCCAAGTATTCGGGTTTCTTTGAAAGTTAACCTGCATTTCAACAATATATAAGAAATATTTTGATGATTAAAAAAATACCCATAAAACATTTAAAATGTTTCAAAATGATAAATTTTGCAAAAACACTTTAGTTAATGTTCAAGTTTTTAAAATTGTTTCTTATAAACGTCACTAGGTATACTGTTAGTCAGTCATTGGATGAATTTCTGTGTTTCGAAAATAAATTAATTGAATTGAATACGGTTTGTATACGGATTACATGATTGCATGATTGCAGATTGCCAGCCCTGCATGCACTGAGCTAGAGGTAGTCATGCTCGATTGGCTAGGCAAGATGTTGGATTTACCAGCTCCGTTCCTCGCTTGCTCCGGCGGAAAGGGAGGCGGTGTCATTCAGGTATGTCCCATAACATGCATCTGTAAAAAGTGAATACTATAGTTACCTGTCAAAATATTGAAGATAAAATCAAGATAGTCATTGGTTTATACTTGTTCAGATAGTAATCCATTCATTTTGGTGAGTGAAACCATAGATAAAACTTCAATGAAGGAATATCTCTTGATTTTTATGTTCACACTAATGGGGTGACTTAAGTTTTTAGTAAACGTGTTTCAATCGACCATGTCCTGTAGCTGTAACTTGTCTGATAAAATGTTATCAGGTTCCTTTAGGGTTATGAAAAAATTAAGTAGAGTTTTTGTTTTATTATAATTATTGTCCACTAAAACTTGATAATTATGGAAAATACCATCCTCACTCTAAGTTTCATTCGTCTGGTTGTCAGGGAACAGCTAGCGAGGCCACACTCGTAGCCCTCCTGGGAGCCAAAGCTAAGATGATCCGAAGAGTGAAGGAACAACACCCAGACTGGACGGACTACGAGATCGTATCCAAACTGGTCGGCTACTGTTCTGGTGAGGAGATTTTTTACATCGCTACTGTGAAGAAAAATGTTTTTGTCCTGGCTAATTATTCAAATAAAAGGTTATAAGTACCTGTAGTAGTATCGGTTCAGCGTTAGGTGGATGGACTTATACAGGCCAAGTTCTGAGCATCCCAATCCAGTTGTAGTATAGAGATCGATGGGTCTCGTGTGCAACTTATAAGGAGTCCACATGACAGAACTTGGTCGGAGAAGCCTGCAATGTAATAAATAGAAGTTGACAGAATTGGTGAAATCTTTCTCAATTCAAATCAGATGGTTTGCTACCTTTTCTCACCATTCCTGTGTGTGTCCCCACTGAAACCCTGTTAAATCAATTAGGAGTTTTGTATTTATAAGATGAGGGGAAACAAGATAAAAATAGGTGTAATTAAATCACTGAATAATCGAAGTAGCTCAAAAGGTAAAGAAAATAAAAAATTGTTTCTGAATTCCACAGATCAAGCTCACTCATCAGTAGAGCGAGCTGGTTTGCTGGGGGGTGTGAGGCTACGAGGCATCCCAGCTGACGACCGTTATCAGCTGAGAGGAGATTCCCTGCGCGAGGCTATACAGAAGGACAAGAAGGATGGACTTATTCCCTTCTATGTAAGTATAGAAATTTATTACACCATTTTTAATTGGATACTGCAGTAGACATTCCATCTACAGTATATTGATCAGCTGTTGTCAGTTTTTGCTTACAAAGAACAAAGTTGAATAAGAAAATCACTAATCGCGCGAGTGTTTGAAATAGTATATTTCATTACTAGGACCGAAAGTGGCATTTTCCGGCGCGCGCTCAAGTTTTTGTGCGAGGCGAAGCCGTGTATGTGAGAGATATTTTCACAATGCACAATGCGGGAATAATGGAGCAAGTGCCGGATAATAACTTTCGGTACGAGTTATGAACGATACTTTTCATTACGACGCACAAATATATAAACACAGAATAGCAGACCTCAGTAATATTGCAACTGATTTATTTCTCAAATAATTAGATTGCGGGAACATCAAAATAAAATAAAATCTTTTAAAAGGAGACCTACGTTTATTCATGATTAATTTTTAAAACAAAAATTAGGAGAAAATATTTTAAAGGTAGCCTACGTATATTTTCCAATAAATTTTGCTTGAAGATCAAAATAAAAGAATAAAAACAACTTTCAACCATACACACAGCTGATTCAAATCATTAAATTAAACCGTAACAAAACACTAGTGCGCGTAGTGAATAAATGGAGAACTAATTGAGAGCGAGGGAAAGTAAATTTAGAGCGAGGGAAAATCAGCTTATCGATTTTCCCTCGCCCAAAATTAGAGCTTGGGAAACGACTACTTTCATTGATGTCAGCTGTTATCGAAAATAGTTACTTTCGTTATGGAGTGATGAAAATAAATATATAAATTTTTTAGTTACTAAGATAGTTGGTCACATAAAAGTTGCTAGCTTATGAAGTCTTTTTCATCACTCCGTAACGAAAGTAACTATTTTCGATAACAGCTGACATCAATGAAAGTAGTCGTTTCCCAAGCTCTAATTTAGGGCGAGGGAAAATCGATCAGCTGATTTTCCCTCGCTCTAAATTTACTTTCCCTCGCTCTCAATTAGTTCTCCATTTATTCACTTCGTGCGCTAGTGTTTTGTTACGGTTTAATTTAATGATTTGAATCAGCTGTGTGCATTGTTAAAAGTTGTTTTATTCTTTTATTTTGATGTTTAAAAACAAAATTTATTGAGAAATATACGTAAGCTACCTTTAGGATATTTTCTCCTATTTTTTTTGTTTCAAAAATTAATCAAAAATAGACGTAGGTTTCCTTTTAGAAGACTTTATTTAATTTTTATGTTCAATCAAATTAATTGAGAAATAAAATAGTTTCAATATTACTGAGGTCTGCAATTCTGTGTTTGTGTATTTTTGTGTCGTGATGAAAAGTATCGTTCATAACTCGTACCGAAAGTTATTATCCGGCACTTGCTCCATTATTCCCGTTCTCGGCTTTGCCTCATACGTGAAAATACCTCTCACATACTCGGCTTTGCCTCACACGGGAAATTGGGGTTCCCTGTTTTCTGCTTTGCCTCACAAAAAACCTTGAGCACGCGCCGGAAAATGCCACTTTCGGTCCTAGTAATGAAATATACTATTTATCTATTTGGCTTATTTAAAAGTCTATAGATATTCCATAGAATTTATGGATTTATATCTGCGCAACCAGTCGGTAGTTCAATTCCACTACGTCCATTATACATAGAAAACTGGCAACAACATGGGTATAGTTGTATCAATAGTCTAAGGTATTTGGTTTACAATGCCAATTGTTTTGTAGGATCAAAACCTTCGTTGTTTGAAAAATGTCAAATAGAGATCATTATGATAAACTATTTTCATCAATCCTCAAGACTGCAGAATTTACATCTAAGCTTATGCAATAATTAGTTAGAATTAATTTGTATAATACAATTTCCTGGTTACATTCATGCGGACTACCTTATTTTCAAGCAGCAAATTTCAAGAATTATAAACATCTATATAGTTATAAGTATACATATTTTAAAAGATAACACTAATAAACAATCTTTTAGGCGGTGGCAACCTTGGGTACAACCAACTGCTGTGCGTTTGACTGCCTCGACGAGATAGGACCTGTCTGTGAAGAAGAGGAGGTTTGGCTTCACGTTGATGCTGCCTACGCTGGTGAGGAATCACAATAAAACTAACTGTTAGCGTGATAACATCTGCTTAGAATATGTAACTTAAGTTTAATAATTAGTATATATTATAAGGCTCAAAAGTTTGGCACGACATCTAATAAACTACTAAACTTTTTAAATGTATTTGATTGTTAACAATCATCATACTAAATTATGCAGAATTTTGCTTGTAATAAAAATAAGGCAAATACATGTTTTGAAGCTCTAATAGGTTTAATATTTTACTATTCTTGAAAGTGACCAATTTAGGGACAAATATTATAGTGGTTTACAAGGGAGGAAAAACCGAGTGTGGAAAATAACTATATCGAACAACAGAATGGAATTATCTTGCCGAATAAGGAACCATACTTTTCATCACAATGCAAATAATCACACTATTTTCACACAGCTGTACAGAGATGAGCTATGTATTTATGGAAATATATATTGCATTTCTTAAACTTAAACCTAATGATTTTTCAATGTTCACAATTGATTGACAGGGTCTGCATTTATCTGTCCTGAGTATCGCTACCTCATGAAAGGAGTTGAGTTTGCCGACTCCTTCAACTTCAACCCTCACAAGTGGATGCTGGTCACCTTTGACTGTTCTGCCATGTGGTAAGATGCTTTATGACACCTTGTAGATAAACAATAATAATGAACATTATTGGCTATCTAAAAAATTATCTGATTGGCTAAAAATGTTCTAAATTTAACATTTGCCTGTATTAACATTCTGGTGTGAGTTTTATAGTTATTTATTGGTTATAAATGTTCTAAACATTCAACATTCTATATTACATATTTTATTGTGTTTCAATATTTTTCAATTCCCAAGATGACCTTAAAAAGTTAGTATAACACGTTGTAAAATTAATAATGTTTGAAATACTTGTAGTTTAAAATTGTTTAAAACTTTACTATCATGACCTTCAAGTGCCCACCAAGTGTGGATGTTCTCAATTTATCACATCACAGCAAACAATTCTGTTTCTATGGAAACATGTTATTTTATCATTCAACTTTGACACAAAAGTTAGTTCAGTTTAATAGCTTTAACAAATCATCGATTGTGGAAAATAGTATAAAAAAAATAATAAAAAGGCAGTTAATGGGATAGAAGTTAATATAAAATCAAGATATATACTTTACAACGGACTGCCTCAAATAAATACACTGTTCAAAGAACAAAAAGGATTCAGTAAACAAAGAAGCCTTGGAGGTAGACACAAAAAGTGAAGAAGTATCAGAAGACTTCAAAGAACAAACAATAACAGCAAAAATGTCAAGATGCACCATAAGTGAAAGAATACCGAGAATTTCAGATGATGAAAACAAAAGGGTAAACAAAAACTGGTGAATCAGAAGAACAATGAAAAATATGAAGAAGATATTACAGTACTAATATTCATGTGTAGGCTAATTTAGTACTAAGTATCTTTTAAGTGTCAGTATTATGTATTGTATAGTATGTAATATTTTTAGGCATCTTGTTATGTAATCAATCAACCATTCTGAGGAGAGTTTGTATGGTTTCTTTCCTCACTTAGGCAAATGCCGGAATGGTTCCCTAAAGGGCCGTACCCCGCCAGGCAGAATGGAAGACAGGACTTGATCCTAATTCTGTTTGGTTCATCAAAACCCCAATAGATCAAACTTATCAACAAATAAATTGACTTTTCAAAAAATAAACATTTTTTTATTTGTTTGTACTCTTCTGGAAACACAAACATATTGTAAAGTATGATAAGATGTGCTATTATGTTGCAATGATTAGTCTCGAGATAAAATTTAGAGTAAATAAATACGGAGGATCTCCTCTTCATAAAACTAATTCCAAAGATGGCGATGGGCAATTCAGAAAAAAATGCAATCATTGACTATGTCATTCTTAGTCAGAAACACAAATCAAATTCTCTAACATTCATATCAACCTCCATTAATTACATTATATTTTTGTTTCAGGCTGAAAGACCCATCTTACGTTGTGGATGCGTTCAACGTAGATCCCCTGTATCTCAAGCACGATATGCAGGGTTCAGCCCCAGACTACAGGGTATGTAAGCCCATGAGTTAATTGAAAAACAAAAACTTTATAAGAACGTTTATTGTCTGCGGCCATTAACACTAAACATCGACAGTTATCCATTTTTAAATGAATTTATTATCTTAGACAATTGAGGTGGAAGTTCTGCAATACGAAGGAAGTTCTTCTCTCCTAAAGGAACGATCTTGGTATTTCTAAATGGAGCTTAAAGCTTTGAGTTGGCACCAAACCAATCGGCCACACGCACAAACCTCTTAAATGAAATTGTTGTGCTTTAAATACTGGCAATGGATGGCTCTATTAACAAAGATTATATTAAAAGAGCATTTGATTTCATTATAATGCAGAACTAATATAAACTCGAAGATGAGAAAAAAGTCTTTGGTTATTCACCGTTAGCTATAGAACTAAATAAAAAGAAATTAATCCGGATTCATGAGAAATTGAAAATCTTTGATCACCAAAGTCCTCGTGATTTTTTCAGCACTGGCAAATTCCTCTCGGCAGAAGGTTCCGATCTCTCAAGCTCTGGTTTGTGATGCGTCTCTACGGAGTCGAGAATCTCCAGAAGCACATCCGCAAGCAGATTGGACTCGCTCACGAGTTTGAGAAGTACGTTTTGAGTGACGAACGCTTCGAGATCATACATGATGTTATCATGGGACTGGTCTGCTTCAGGCTCAAGGTTTGGATGTTTTCTTTGGAATATTTTTTAGAATTAATAAATCAGCAAGCACGTTTTGTCAAAAGATATACCTGAGGCATATGAGTTGAGTTCTTCTTGCAGATTGCTGGGAGTTCCTTTTTTTTAACGAAACTTAAAACTGATTTACATAAGGTTCAAAATAAGTGCACAACATATGGCTCTAGCGGGTTTTATTGACTTGTTTGAGTTTAAGTTGTTTTACTTTGAACTAAATAAGCCCATCCACATTTTGGCAATAAAAATTATTAAAAAGTTATCAGAACTGTAATGATTTTACTTTTCATTTGACATTGTCATTGTGAATTGATATAAAATAATTGTAAAACTATTTAGGGAATTGTTAATGTTACAGGGTTCCAATGAGCTCAATGAAAACCTCCTGAAGAGAATAAACGGAAACGGTAAGATCCATCTTGTTCCCTCGAAAATCCGAGATACCTACTTCTTGAGAATGGCAGTTTGTTCTCGATACACAGAATCTGAGGACATCAAGTTCTCGTGGGACGAGGTACAGAGTCTCGCCACCGATGTTCTCGCTGAGGGCAGGCCTGGCAACTGATAAACAATAAAATTTCCTGCTCAGTAGGTAAATTCCCTGCTGAGTTCCGACCAATTCATGTAAACTATGGACAATCTGAATAAGGCTATGTACCAACTGATTAGTGGAACAATATTTAAAACATTAAGTGTAAAACAATATTTTAGTCTTGCTTCAAACACATATTGACATTTGCTTAAGTTGTTACAGAGAATCTATAACAATAAATAAAATGACAATAATTTGTAAGCTTACACAAGCTAAAGAACTAATACGAAACATTAATAAGTTGTTCAAAATAATTTAAGTTATTTATAAGACAATAAATAATGTGATATTTTATCCTAATATTTTGAATAATTTGTCTTTAGAACTACAACGAATAGTGGTTGTTATTTAAATTGTGTTTCATACAATTACTACAAAAATACTCAATTTTGACTGCAATTAAATGTGATTATGTTAATGTTCTTGCCAGGTAATTTTATATTGTAATTAGTAAACTACTACTAAATTAATAAAAAATATACATTTATATAAATTGCTTCCAATCAAAGAAACAGTGGCAGTTCAATGTTTTGTAAATCAAATATTATTTACTTTAGTCAAAAATATGCTAATCTATGCTTAAAGTACTTTAATATACTTACAGCTCGAGTTTAGCTTTTTTTGACATGTATATAAAATATAAAGTATGCTATTAGTAGTACTATAAAGTAGTTTAGAATGAGTGTTGTACTTATTTTGGAGTGCAAATGAAAGTTTATCCAGCCCCGAAATTGCATTTGTCGCACTGCATACTTAACTATTATATTGAATGACTGTATACTTATCTAATTTGAATGATTACTTTGTCAAAGATATATCTCTATCTCTTTTAAAGCTTGCTTGACATAATCCTGAAAAACGATATCACTTTGTCCTTCCATATATATTTTTCTGAATATTTATGTAGTCCAAACAATTGTCAATCATGCGTCTAAATTATGTAAGCCTTTAGTTATATTATATATGCTTTATCGATGTTTTATAATCAAGAATCAAGCTTAAATACTTTCCTTCTAATGTTTAAGTATTCATATACATAAACACAAAAACCCTGCAATACTTTTAATTGCCTCATCATGACATGTGATTATAACAATAATGGGAACAATTTTTGAATTAAGTGTTCTATTAGATAAGTTATATTTTTGTAAATAAAGTTGTAGGTTTAAAATTTAAATTATTAGTATTTTGTTACGATCTGTATATTTGAAGAGTTGCTTCATTGGTGAAATTATTTAGATAATATGATTTGTTTGTATTAAATAAATTACAACCGCATATTTAGTAAGTTAAGGTTTCATTTTGTAAATATTCTTATCTGATAATAAATCTATGTGGTGTTCATGCTGTGTAATTTTTATATCCTTTTTGTTGGATATTTTAACAAAGAACAAAATAGAAGCTATATCTTTTCATGAAAGAAAAGTACCTATTTTAGTTTTTTTACTTAGTTAGCATAAATAATGGTGCAATATGACAAAAAAATATAGTTCATCACATGGACAATAAATGTTTTTTTCTACCCTCGCCTATTTTCTGACTACGGCAATGAGCTCTGATAAGAGTCACTTAACGCCCAAGTGATGAAAATCTAACGTTATAAGAAAATAGCCCGTTTCACTGACTCACCCTGTATGTCGGTACTATTAACAGTAGCATTCTATAAAAATGCTTTTTAAGTAAAACACTGGCTACAGCTGCTGGTCCATAATCTAGCTGGTCCATTAAGTTGACACCCTGTAACTTCACATGTAGGATATGATTGAGCGAAGCTCACTTTCCCTCACTTTGTAACTTCTTTGTAAGAGCATCAGAATGTAATGGCAATTGATACGAAATTTGGCCAACAGCTAAAGAATACTGAGCACAATGTTTTGGTAAAAAAATATTTGCAAATTTCCTTCTGGATTTTATTTTACGGGTCACGCAATTTCGCTTGTTATTTTAATGTAAGTTGAAGGAAAAATTGTATTGGGTTTATGACATAAGGGTTTATCTCGTTTCATTTAAATAAGATAAACATATGTTAATTGTTTGTAACTGTTTTGTTTACATTTCAATGTTTACTTTCATCCTAGGTTAAAGTTGAAATGTAACAATGGAAGTAAGTTTATCAATGGAAGTAACAGTTTTGCTATATTTGTTTTGTGCATGCCTCAAAGGCCACGTCGTAATATTGGTCGTTGCACCAATAATGCAAATATTGTAAGAGAGTGGCGTCGTGAAAGAGAAGAACCAGATGAAGCAGTGGCGGAAGAAGCTGATAATGATAGGCAGTTAGCTAATCAATTCCAACATGAATTAGATGCACTAAAATTTTACACTTGCATTAACTGTCATCGCCAACAACTAACAGCTTCAAACCAATCGCCGATTTGTTCGCGTTGTCGTTCAAATGCAACTAAATTCACGGCGTTAAATAATATGGATGTGTCAAGTGTCCCGAACGAATTAACTAACCTGACGATTGTAGAACAAATGTTGATTGCACGAGTACATCCCACTATGCACATTTACAAAGTACAAGCAAATGGTCAGGATGGCCAGTTTCACTACAAAGGTAACATCATTAATGTTGAGCAAGATATTAATGAAATAGCATCTGTCTTACCTACACTGCCCGAAAACTTAAAAGTCATCATTGTCCAACGTCAAGGCGTATTTGGCCATATCGATTTCAAAGTTCGACGTGAAAAACTACAGCAAGCACTTATTTGGCTGAAGGCAAATGACCCATTCTATTTTGACATAACCATTAGTGATGAAGCGCTACGCCAACTACCAGTCAATGATTTTGTTCACATGAGAGTACCATGTGTACGTGAAAACCAAGACTTGACCGTTTAAACGAAATGTCAAATACACATGTCTAATAACCTTTTATCAATTCTTATTCTTATTCTTAACTAAATAAATGAACTATCAGATAAATTTGTCATTCTTCAGAACTTAATTAATATCGGACAAACAAACGGTGAATCTTTTGAAAGGGAACATATTGTAGGATGTTAGCTGCTTTAGCCATTGACAATCTTTAAATATTGCTTCGCTTATTTATGCCTCTTAAGTGTAACGGCAGACCACCCTAGTTTATAGTTATATCACTTATGCAATAAATATATAAATGATTCCAAATTTACTGTCTAAAATGTTCATGAACATCTGTTCTTATTTATTATTGTTTATGATTGTGTGAATCTGTTTTACAATATAATTGAAATAAAGTTTATTAAAATTTGAATAATACATTAATTAATATCTAACAAATGGCAAAAAGTTTTTTCATGTAGTCTAGCAACAAAAGCAAGTGATAAAATTTAAGTAAATCGTTTGTGTATAGTCATACTGATATATTATTTACATAAATAAAATGTCGATAGACTCCAATTTACTTGTCGGAGTTACTATAATACATTTATTTTTACAATTCTTAACGCTCTCTGCAGAAAAAGGAACTAGACTTCAACAAACTCCTGCGATTGTGATTCCCAATTGGATCTGGTATGTGGGAATATTTTTTTTCCTCAAGAGATATAAATTTGGCTTAGTCCAAAAGATGAAAAACAATTTTGTTCGAGCTTTAGTTCAGGTAGGTGCTTGTGTAAAAGATATTTTTTAGAATATAGATACAAAACTATTTTTTAATAAGCAGGGTCCATTACTTTCGAATGGGGTCTCACAGACCGGAGGTTTTGGTTAGCCTGGGTAGGGTTTCGGTATTAGTTTAAGGAACACTAACAACATGAAGAATTTTTTTTTATTTGTTTGAAAACATAAAAAAATATATCAGAAATAAAATGGATTAGATAATACAAATTATATTTAGCAACAAGCTTAGGCCTATTTTAATCCAAGGTATAAAAAACTCAAATATCAGTAAAACATGATTTTGTATCGGTACCGTACTGAAAATGTGACAAACCAAAAAATATCCTAGGTAAAGTGTAAAAAAATATAGGTAGGCCTATCACAATGGGTAACATGATGGTGTTGGTTTTTATTTACTGTCAAACCAGAGCTGATTCATTTTTGATGGTCATAACTTGAAATGTGATGTGGAAAGTGGAAAAGGGACCTCTTGTCGGCGATGTACAATTTTCAGTACGGCCGATATTTGGTTTTTTATCAATTGTTATACCTCATTTAACATCTAGAACAGGACAGTATCGGTTAAAATATCGAATCAAAGATGTAAATGGTAAAAAAATAATTTTGCTAGCCTCTGCAGGGTCTGAGAAAAAATCTCTTGTCGCTTAATGTTATTTCACCAACACGAATATAAGAGGTCCCATTTCTAATATTCACTTTATAAACAGACTTTAGTCCAAAAAATGAATTGTCCTGCATTCTAGAGGAAATTTAGAGAATTACAACAAACTTCAGTTTACGGAGAACAAAATATCTCACAAATTTTGCGGTCCTGACAAGGGGTACCTTTTCTTATATTATGGAGAAATAACATAGGGCCGACAAGAGGTCCCTTTTCTGAAATATGATTTTTACGACGTTCTTCGACAAAAAAATTTGGCCTACTTAAATGAAAACTAGCGTGAGTTAAGACAAAAATTTGTATTGCCTCCAAAGAGGACATTATAAGCTTTCTTTTGATACCCAAATCGTTTCTTAAATAAAAAAAAAACAAAAACTGTTTTTATGCATATTTAAAGTTTCCAAAATAGTTTTTCTCAAAATTACCCTTTTCCGTAAATAAATGTTAGTCTTATAACTAAAAAAAATGGGACTTGCACCAAATGATTCGGGATTTAATAAGAATTCAAATATATATAACTCAAAATCAAAAATTCCTGACAAGAGGTACTTTTTGCTTTCCACATCACAAATAGTCATAACTGAGAAATAGTTTTTCTGTTTTGTCCTAGAATCTTTTAATCACAAGATGGGCAAAGTAATCCAATCCAACATGTGTTGACAAAATCAAACAACTATTAATTTAATATTAACTTTTGCATGCAATAAATAGGCTATGTTAAATTACCTTGTGTATCACAAAATGATTAAAAACATTAGTTGGACAATTAATGTATTGTTGAGTAACTTGGCGATTAATCTATTAATTTAACCTATTTACCTTGTTATTAACCTATTTAGATAGTTTAACCAATTTATTGTATCATACCGATTCAGAGGTTACTTCACAATACACTTTGGTTTTGTCTCAATAATTTTCTTTCCAGGCACTGTTTTTTCTGACTGCCTATGAGTTTTTTGTCTACATATGGACATTTGTTGAGATTACTGTCCTTATATGGATGCCTGAAGCTGTTGATTATGTAAGTGAGAGATACATTTGATTTCAGTCTTAATATGTTATATCTCAAACCAAGGAATTAAGAGAAATACCAAACGTAGATTTACCTATTTAGTCATAAAATTGTCAAAAATAGTTTTTCATTAGTAAATTGTATTGTACGATAGACCATTGTGTTTGAATCAAAACCATAGCTAAGACTGGGCTCTAACTAGATAAATTGAATTAAATCATAAAAAGAGTACAAATACAGGTATTTGCTATGTATTCTTTTATAATATAGCTCGGTGTAACTTGTTAGTTGAAAAAGTTTTCTCCCAAATTAAAACTTATTAAACTGCTTCAATATGTATGTGGTTGTTTACAGGTTGTGGGAAAACTACTTGGAAATGGAGGCATTACAATTCCAGAATGGCCTTTTATCTGCTTGTTGTGGGCCATCCCACTGTATTGTTCCCATTTGGCAAATAATACTGACATACTGTAAGTTTTACTTGCAAATAAATATATTTTATAATAGCTAATTATATTTAAAGTGAAAGGAACCGCAATTGTCTATAAATATGGGCAAGGAGGCTCGGACCCTCCCTTTGAGAGAATATGTTAACCAAATTTTAAAACTATGCAAAAAAAAACGAGAAACTTAAAATATATAAAACAATTTTGTTACAAACATTTGTAAAATCAAACCATTTTGTATATAAATTTTAAGCATCTTCCATGGGAGGCCCCTGAACCCCCCTTTTACGGAGGAATATTCCTTACCCTACAGCCCCCCCCTATGGAACAATAAGATGGACACCCCTCAAAGGAACATAGGAAAGAAATTATGGCGTTAGCCTCGGAATAACCAATAAATTTAAATGTTAACATCTGCATAATCTTTAAAACGGCATCAAGCAATTTCAGCTCTGAATTGGAGCCATCTTCATGCTGTACATGAACGTTTTTTAGTTGTCTACTGCTGAAGACTTTCAAATTAAAACAAAACAATACCCCCGCCGCAGCAATCCTGCCGACTAAGCGAATTTCCATTTGTCTGAATTGATTTTCAGTTAAATATATTTTAATAACATTAGGTTTAACGAGTACCTAGGTTTGCTGCTACAAGGAAACTAATAAAGTGTGTTTTTGAGTAAAATATTTATAGCTTAGTACAAAATAAATAAATTTGCCAAGTTTGATCAAAATATATCCATAAACAAGCAAACTACAACATTTGACAATATTCTTCATAAGAATAACATGGGAATTTTAAATTCCACAATTTTTTTAATTTTCTCTGTTACTAACAATCAAACAAAAATACTTTTATATACTAAATTATTTGTTTTTTTAAGCTCTTTAAAAAGGTCTAAAGAGAAATCCGGAAATTTTGTGTTTTGAGGGTCAAAAGTGAGAAAATCCAATTTTTACCCCATAAAACCCCCCGTAAAGCCCCGTTTCCATGGTCCGATCGTGCTGGTTTGCGAACTCATTCAAGTTTATCCCGCTTTACACCTTTAAACCAAATTTCATCAAAATCGGACAAAAATTACTCAAGTTATCGCGTTCACGGACGTATATATATATATATATATATATATATATATATATAAATTTGGACGAATGGTGTTTTTGGCCTCTGGGGACATCAAAATGAAAAAGTAAATCGGTCCCGGGTCTAGGTCTTACCGTGCCACCTACGGTAATAGCTACTTCCCTATAGGGAAATTCGCTAATACATTTGCGTACTCATACACACACATAACACGGAAACATTAAACAACATTAAAATCAGCTGATTTTCATATGCAGTAATTTTTTTAGCTGACTTTTAGGCACTCAGCAGAAAGTTGTAGTCTACAATGTTGGAAGTGATTGCAGTTTGTCTGCGTTCTTTGTTATATTAGACTTAAGGTTGAATTCTTCCCTTCTCCTTGTTCCTCAAATATCAAAACACCAACCACTTGTGTCAAAAACATCACTTTGTGACATTTTACAATTAATAATAATAACATTAACAGGTTGGCCTACTACCTCAACGGCAACGTAGATACTGCTTCGCTGGACGTAATGAGTGACTCTTCAATCCAAGATGGGAACGTGAGGAAAACAACATCCTTTAACAACAGATCACAGCGAAGTAATCTCACTTACACGCTCAGACCTAGACCGCTTAGGTCAGCCATAGCATTGTGAGTCGGAAAACGGTGAAGTAAGCAGTACTGTAGGTGGATTGTGTCTGTTTATCAGAATAAAAATTGTGCTTGTGATTACATTTTTTGATTATCTATAATTTAATAAATGAAGAAGTTTTTGTCTGTGTTCTTGGGTGACCAAAACAACTGAACTATATTGAAATTTTACACACAAATCATACAAATTTTCTTAGAATGGGTAAGGATAGGCTCGCTCTGTGAACGTTAAAAGTTTTGAGTTTGAGCTTTAGGGTCAGAATATTGATTTAATATATCAATTAGATTATGATTTAAATAAAGGTTTTAAGAGGGAAAAAAACTGAGGATTATAAAATTAGTTATTTATTACAATAAAATAATAGACGTAACATAACACTTCCATAAAAATTATCTTCTAGACATACCTTTCAACAATTCCTCAAAAGTGTCCTCCACTACAATTATGTACAGCTAAATCAGAAATATCTAAAATTACTTACATATAAAATACAATTATAGACAATTCATAACAAAATGGACAGGAATGGAGAGAGATCACAGAAAAATAACTGAATGCATAAATTACAATTTGTGATGTGGAAAGTGAAAAGGGACATCTTGTCGGCGATGCAAAATTTTCAGTAAGGTCGATATAGGTAATTAAGGTTGAAAATATCAAAATTTAGATTTTCATCGATTGTTATATGTTATTTAACACAGAACATGACAGTATCAGTTAAAATATCGAATCGAAGATGTAAAAGTTCGAAATGAATCATTTTGATAGCCTCTGCACAGTCTGAAAAAAGGTACTTCTTGTCGCTCAATGTTATTTCGCCATAATGACAAGAGGTCCCATTTCTAATATTAACTTTATTAACAGACTTTAGACCAAAACTTGAATTGTCCTGCATTCTAGTGGAAATTTAGAGAACTACAACAAAGTTCAGTTTATGGAGAACAAAATCTCTCAAAAATATTGTGGTCCCGACAAGAGTTCCCTTTTCTGAAATGTGATTTTTAGGACATTCTTCGATAAAACAATTATTTAAATGAAAACTACAGTGAGTTAAGACAAAAATTGGTATTGCCTCCAAAGAGGACATTGTAAGCTTTCTTTTAATACCGAAATCGTTTCTTAAATACAAAAAATAACTGTCTTTATGCGTTTTTGAAATTTTCAAATATTCTTTTCTCAAAATTACCCCTTTTCCTAACAAAATTTTGAAGTCCTATAACTTTAACAACAAAATTTCATAGATGCATGGGATGATTTGGATTTTGCAGGAAGTGATTTGGAATTTAATAAGGAATTCTAATACACAGGGTTAATAAAAAGTCTGGAGACCCCTGTCAATTTTTTTACGGCTCACAACCTTTATGGCATGTTATGAAGTACTTTTTAAGCATAACTGCTACTTCAGAATGGGGGATTTTTCGGGGAAACTCAAAGATTTCAAACGGTAAGACGAAGTGGCGGTTATGCCCAAAAAGTACTTCATAACATGCCATAAAGGTGTGCAACGTTTAGATTTCTAGTATGGGCTGTTAAGAGATTGACAGGGGGTATCCAGACTTTTTATTAACCCTGTATATATATATAGCTAAAAATCAAAAATTCCCAACAAGAGGTCCCTTTTTAATTTCCACATCACATTTACAAAAGAAATGTGAAAAAATCATTATTAAAGATTAAATAGAATTAATTTACTATCATAAAGATAAAATTGGTCTTAATGAGGACTGCTAGCTGCCTCATCAAAATATTTGATATTTTTAATTTTACAAACTTAAAAATAATTTAGTTATAATAATAGTTTATCAATTTAAAAATTATATAGTCACATTTTAATATTGAGACAATATTGAGACATATTTGTTGTTTATTTAATCTCCAATAAAAAATATGAACAAATATAAAAACAAACACTTATGTGGGATGGACCACAAGTAAAAATATCACATATACAAATGTTTTGTCTTTTGATTAAATGTCAGAATATTTCAAAATATAAAAATAAAATTATTTATAAGGAGTAAACGTTGAGCTTTGTAAATCTCAATGACACCTAAGTCATTAAAACAATGAGAGTAATACTGTATGTTAAAAACATATTAGAAGTTTTAATGCATGATTTATTTGTCATCAGGCAAGAATTGCAATCTTATTACTACTGGTACAAAAAACTGTTCAATAGTTTCATGATGAAAAATTAATTTTACGCTGAATCAGATAACTAGAGAAATAATAAGGTTAAAAGAAATTTAAAATTATCAAAAAAACATAAAAGGTTTAACAATTTTTAAATAAAATAATTTTATTACATAGGTACCTTAAATTAAAATATGTTTAAAACTTGACATTAATTTTCTTTACAACTGACGTTAGGTAAAAAAAAAAACATTGTATACAATATTTATTGATTTACAATAGTTTTCATTCTTATACATTACAAATATTACCAACTAGTCTTAAAAAATACTGTTGATGTTTTGTTATTAAATTTGACTGTTCAGATCTCATAATAAAAATTATGAATGAATATTCTTGCAAAAAGTACATAAACTAAATTCCTTAACATTTCAGTGTTAGCACTTTTATACTTAGTTTATGACACAATTAAATTTAATGTGGAGTAATTGATATAATTCTACTCAAAGCTGTTATCTTTGACTACATAAAATACACTTCCAAGAATCATACAAGTTTTTGTTTATTGCTAAGGGTTTTCATGTCACGCAACATTAATTTTTGTTGTTAGATGGAATGGAAATTATTTAGATTCTTACGGATATATTACCTTAATATTTTACTTTAACAAAATAAAGTTGCAAAAATTACAAAAATAAATTTCTGTAAAACATTTTTTAGTTGTATATTTTAATTTTACTTTTAAGGAATATTACAATAAAAATTAACATAATAAGTACAGAGTTTAAGTACAAGGACCAGTCTTTAAAAATAAAAACTAAAAATATTTACACATTGTTGATATTTATTAAACAGTATTAAAGTTACACAAAATAATCATATTTGATTGCTTTCATTTAGCGACAATACTATTTGGGTATATCGAATAAAGTATCTCAAAACACAGTGTATTACGTATTGGAAATGAGTAATATCATTTTATGAATATTGCACTTGAAGTATGGCAAATTAGGCTATGCAGCCTTACTTAATGATACAATAGTTAGCAATGAGTATAGTTGCTTGTTTTGTGGACAACCTCTTTAGTAGTAGGTTTTTATTAATACATCAGAATAGTTAATTTCCAGGCTAGCTAATGAGAGAAAACAGGAAACAGGTATTTAAATAACCTTTCAGTTTCATGTTCATACAACTTTTGTTGGTTTTATTTTAACCAATGATGGGGACAAATAAAAATAAAGAGCTTTACGTTTGAAATTAGCAATTCATCAATTATTTGAGCCAATATAAGTGAGAAACTTAACTGAGCACAAATATTAGGTTGAAAGTTGTATAAACTACTTTCAAGAAAAAAGTAGAACCAATCATCTTCTCTTAATTAAAAGTAATACAATAACAAACCAGATCTGGAAGACAAATATCTTAGTATTAAGTTCTTGTATTTACAGTTAGTAAACATGGCATCCAATAAGATTACAGCGATATATACATTATTGAAACTCTCATCTTAATATATCTATTATTGAAATGTTTAGCTGCTAGATTACGTTCTGTATTGAAGAAGTTAGAGAGAATTGCGTATCAATTTTTCCCACAGAGACTATAACCATAAAACTCTAAACACAATAAAATTGTGACCACATCCATATTACGTTATAAAATGAACTAATTTGAAATTATTTTCATGACAATGGTTTAAAATAAATTGTTTAAAGTTACAGTTCTTACAATTAACATGGTTGATAAGTTTCTAGTTTATATATCAACATGTTTTGAGGACATAAATAAGTTGTTTACAGGGCTACAAAAAAATGTTTTTCAATTTTATTGAGGACAATCTAAAATAAAATAAAAAATAGCAACAGCACTTTTATAACAATACAACAACAAAATAAATTATCCAAGCCTACTTAAAATTATCATTTGATTAAAATGGTCAAAGTAGCAAGGCGTAGCCAACAAAAAACTCTTAAAAAAGTTTTGTTACATAAAAAACCCGCTTTGCCACGTAGTGATTTTGAAAAGCTCATGACTTTCCCTCTCAGGGGTATTGTGAAGTCAAGAGGTGGTGGTATACATTTATGAAATGTCCAACCAAAACCTTACTCATCCCTCTTGTTAGCAAAAATTTTGTAGGTAGGCCCAACAATATTTTGTACAACAGAAAAAATCGAATTGTAAAAAAATACTGTAATTGTAACAAAACGTAATCTAGCACCTGAACTGGTATGCCTGATTTAAAAACAATCACAACCATAAAATTCAATGATAAATACTAACTTAACTAAATGAGTTATTGTTTTAACTTAATACTGACTAATGTTTTGTCTTTTCTGCTTCCTCTTTAGAAAGGTTTATTCAATATCTAAATTAGTTAACTTTTATCAGGAAACGTCAGTCTCAAGAACCGTTATTGTGATGGAAAGTCATTTTTGATCACACTGCATACGCACAGAGATATTTTAAAACTAAGCAGAATTCAAAAGACTCCAACACATTTTAAGTCCCTTAAATGATTTAAATTTGTTTAAAACCCTTTAAAAATGAGTATTATGAGCATTATTTACACTGAAAGATATAATCACCAGATGATTTGCACTCAAGTTGGGTAAACCAGTCTTTAAAATAATTTTCTAGCAAATTAGAAAGATTTATTAATCATATATCCTAATGGAATAAAAACTAAAACTAAAGTTGTATTGCATGGTTATAATATTATTTTGAGTTAACTATTTTGAAAGATTTAAAAACTGTAATAATACTATAGTAGTTTGGCATTTGACAAATATTTTGTTCATGGTAAATATACCTATCCTTTTCATATGATTTAAACGCTCAACGGCTGAAATTAAACACTAACGTGTATATAAACAAAATTATGTGTAAATTGAGATTTGATTGTTCATATTATATTGTTGTATTTATGGTTATAGACTACAAAATATTGAGGATGAATAGCTTTCACAACACTCTTGAAGTTGCGATTAGACTTTGATGTAAATAATTTAAACAACATAGTATAAGTTTGTTTTTACAAGACACAACATTGTTTATGTGTATAAAAATCAAATATGCTGTAAACAACGTGTACAGATTTCCAGGACAGTACCAGTTATTGAGTAGATCAATAGCATTTTACAGACTACCCACCTTTCTGCTACAACCTTTGTAAAATGTATACAACAGCACCACTTATACAAAAAATAGATTCAACAACTACTATTACAAACCACCATCTTATAAAAGACATAACCGCCGTTGGACAGCGTAAAATGAAAGCACAGTAACGGACAGTCTCGTATTTACGACGAAACACTGACGATTGGACGTTAAATTGTTCTACGACTAGATTCTACAACTAAACACAAGTATTGTACTCCTGCTGACACGCAAGTCTCAAGATTTATTTGCACCTTTTTACACTTTTACGATCTCGTAAAAATTTGTTATTAATTAAAAAGTGGTGAATTTTAATTAACATATTAAAAGTTTTGATACTAAACAATTACAATGTTTTTATAATTGATCTAGACCAAAGCAAATAGAGAATCCATTTAAAGCATTTAGAAATCTGCTATCGATTTATATAAAACGGAGTTGACTAAAATGTTTAAAAACTTGCTTTAAAATGCATCTCAAATCCAACAAATCCTCCATAATTGAGAATCAGAATAAAAAGGTCAGCAAATCAAACCAACCTTATCACTATTGCAGGTCACCTACCTCTTAATCTGAGAATTCAGTATCCTCTTACCGTGCCAAATCAGGTAAACTTAATAAGCAAGTTGCCTACAAACAACTTCTCCGCTAGCTCACCGCACGTGACTACGAGTTGTGGCTGCTCCGTCTCCGCAGAAACGCTCGGTTGTTTGTCGGGTAGACTCTGGAGAGCAGGATGAGCGTCGAGGCCAAAGCCATCTTGACAGGAATGTTGTTGCCAGGCAGTTTGACAATCACGGTGGCCACTGCTGCTACTCCGTCGTCCGTAGGCTCAATAGCCACAGGACGGATCTCTCCGTGTGGGCGACTGCGACCTCGGCGCGCTCTCTGAGGCGAACTGCGGCTGGGATCCAGCATAACCTGTAGAGTGGGGGAAATAGTCAAATTATTACTTAGCTAAAAATAATTTAGTAACGGGTAGGCTGTAATGGCTACATTACAGAAAATTGTTAAAGTAAAATAAAAAAAACTACTTTTTACTTACCTTAACTTACTTTTGTTGGAGTACCACCATGTATTATAATTAGGTCCTACTCAATTATAATTGGTCACGTCATTATTAAAACACGTCTGATCAATTATAATTGGTCCAACAGACAGAGACTAGAGTTGAACACTATTGTATAGAACTTGCTAGGATATTGGAAGGTGAATAAATATATTTTACTAAAAACATGATCATTTTAAATTCATAAAACTACTAATATGGGAGTTAAGGTATAATTGTGTTATGGAAATACATAGACCACATATAAAATACTTCAAATGAGTACCAGTTAACAATATAGTTTTTTTTTAAATTAACATCTAGTCATGTAAACAATTTATACTACTAACCGTGACCGACGCAAAAGGTCGTTTCGCCATGTGTAGCATCTCAACAACATGCCTGCGTCTAGCCCGACGCACATCAGCCGCTTGCTTTGCCTTCCACGCGACAACACACGCTGCCAAGAACAAGAAGAAGCAAGAGAAGAACACGGAGAAGAAGACAAACAGGTCGATGTGCAACTGGTCCTGACGGAAGAACACAGTGCCATATGCGGGTTGTCCGACCTGCGGGCATAAAATAAAAACTCAACATTGATAGTGGTTCTATGATTACTATTAAATTCAACTCAAGGTTTCAACACCAAATTTAAGTGTTAATGAGCTTAGTCTTCACAGTTTAAAAAACATTTTAAGCTTTGCAACTACAACACATTAATAAATAAACCAAAGAAATTATAATTTATATTAGTGAATTATGTAAATGATTCCCTTTTAATAAAAAAAAATAACTCATAGCCTAAAACATAACCACTGATCAAGTCATCAAGTAAAATATAGAAAAATTAAATAAAGAGATTTCCTACAAAATTTCAATAGACCGTTCCTGTAGAGTTTTGTTGCCCTCACAATTTTCACAATCAAAGTCACCAAGTTAAACAAATAGAACGAATGATGGACCAATTCCAAAATGTTCAGATTGTAAAAATTAAGGTTAAATTTAAATTCCATGCCAAATTAAGATACAGAAAAATGCAGAATAATTAAAAACAAAGCCGTTTAAAATCATCCAGGAAGAAATAATTCAAAGCCTACTCGAAACTTATGTTGCATCTATTTCCGCTGATATTTCCATCGACGTATACTCACCGCTGTGAGCGCGATGTAAAACCTGGTTGAGCCAAGGTCGTGCACCTTCTCAGGCAATGTGAGAATCAACCGATCTGTCAGGTTGTGTACGAACAGCAGAGTGTTGCGCTGCATCAGTGTGATGAACGTGGTGAGACCCTTGGCGTTGTGTCTCACTACATGGAACTGTTGACCAGAGTGCCACACGTTGGATGAACCGTTCTCACTCTCCAACTGTACGCTGTCATCTCCATGGTGCCACGTGTATCTGCAATGTAACACTTATATGTAATACATCAGTGTGATGAGACCCTTGGCGTTGTGTCTCACTACATGGAACTGTTGACCAGAGTGCCACACGTTGGATGAACCGTTCTCACTCTCCAACTGTACACTGTCATCTCCATGGTGCCACGTGTATCTGCAATGTAACACTTATATGTAATACATCAGTGTGATGAGACCCTTGGCGTTGTGTCTCACTACATGGAACTGTTGACCAGAGTGCCACACGTTGGATGACCCGTTCTCACTCTCCAACTGTACACTGTCATCTCCATGGTGCCACGTGTATCTGCAATGTAACACTCATATGTAATACATCAGTGTGATGAGACCCTTGGCGTTGTGTCTCACTACATGGAACTGTTGACCAGAGTGCCACACGTTGGATGACCCGTTCTCATTCACCAACTGTACACTGTCATCTCCATGATGCCACGTGTATCTGCAATGTAACACTCATATGTAATACATCAGTGTGATGAGACCCTTGGCGTTGTGTCTCACTACATGGAACTGTTGACCAGAGTGCCAAACGTTGGATGACCCCTTCTCACTCTCCAACTGTACGCTGTCATCTCCATGGTGCCACGTGTATCTGCAATGTAACACTCATATGTAATACATCAGTGTGATGAGACCCTTGGCGTTGTGTCTCACTACATGGAACTGTTGACCAGAGTGCCACACGTTGGATGAACCGTTCTCACTCTCCAACTGTACACTTTATCAATCAAGGACTGCTCATAGTACCTAATCAGCTGTATGTTTATTTTGAATTTGAACCATTTTTTTATGAACTACATCACTGGATAGTAAATAAATTTTCTGCAAATGTGAATAATGTTTTCAATTAATGATGTGGTTTTTGCTAAGATAAAAGGTCATAAGCCATGGCCTGCTTTAATAACTACAATTGAAAAAGACAAATATAAGTTAAAATTTTTTGGAACTGGTCAAACTGGCACCTGCAAACAAATGGATATATTTGATTTCTCTATGTATGTAGAAAATATTTTACCGTCCAAGAAATTATCAAACCCGCTACAACTAGCAATTGATGAAGCTAATTCTTTTTGCAACAATACAGCAGATGAGTTTATTTATGATCCTGATAAACAAAATGAATCCGAGGATGGAACTAGTGTTTTAGAACTGAGCGAAATCAACAATCAACTTATGTTTGAAAAAAGGAAAATGGAAACGTCTCTGAGGTTAGCTGAAGAAGAGTCTGATGAGTTATGCTCTAAATTTAGAACTGAAATAGAAAATCTCAAGGTAGATATCTCTCATCTAAAAGGGCAGTTAAAAAATAAGGAATGCCTGATTAACAAACTAAATGAGGAACTAACACAAATGCATACAAACAAAGAAAGTAAATCTACTATGACTGCTGGGACCCAAACTGAACAAAACGCATCGAGTAATTCCACGATCAGTACAGTATTATCAAGTTCTAATTTGCTGTCTAATGTAACGTTTCAACCAAAACTACGTTCAAATGATAATTGGTTATCAGATGACACAATCTCTTCCTACTTTGCAATGCTTCAGTCAGAATCTCAAAAACTGAGAAATGACATATTGTTTATTGGGCCTGCGGTGTCGCAGCTATTGAAGCTCCAAACTAAAACAGACGTTGAGAAAACCTTAAACAACTTGTCTTTTAGTGATATGAAATTTGTTTTCTTCTGTATTAATAACAGCAACACTGTGAACTGGGAGGAAAATACTGTAAAAGGAGGAACGCACTGGAGTTTGGTTCTTTTCGACAGCCAAGCTAATTCGGCTTTACATTATGACTCAGCTCGGGGCATTAATAAGCGGCACGCGGAGACACTTCTACAGCAGATTGGGCTTAATGGCGTGGTTCTAGGCGATGCTGTGGTTGCACAGCAAGTAAGCAACTTTGAGTGCGGCTTACACGTCATTGTCACTGCGCGACTGCTACTCTGTCAGCTGTGTGACGGCATTGTAAGCCCCCAACTTCCTAGCAGCAAAGGCAATGGCAATAATAAACAGTGGATTCATAACACCAGAGCCCATTGTAATGAAGGAAACAAAAAGAAAAAGAAGGATAAGACACAAAAGACAAAACATGCACCTGTACAGGAACAATCTTCACCAACAATTGCATTACGAAACAGCTTTGAAGTATTATCATCTTCTGAGACCAATGATACAGTAGACATAGTTTTGCAATATAATCCACAATCATGTATTAAAACTATAGCAAACCATAAGTCAAAGAAGCAACCCCTGATAACAAACATACAACATAGTGACAATCATCTAGTTAGTAATGCTGGAGAGGGAAAGCGCAACATCCTAATCTTGGCAGATAGTCATGGAAGGGATATTTACTCGTACTTAACGAAGATTTGGCCTAACAGAGTAGATAATATATGCAGCATATACAAGCCTAACGCCAAGCTCAATGGGGTTACAGAGAACCTTGTAGCACTTACAAAGTCATTCGGATCGGAGGACTACGTTATTATTATAGCTGGAACTAATGATGATCTCAGTGAAGACAACTCTGCTGGACCTCTACTTGATGCTTTTAAGAAGATCATTGATATGACAGCGCACACTAATTTGATTGTAGCAGAATTACCATACAAGTATCATGCAGCCCAACTAAATAATAGAGTTACTTGCTTGAATATGGAGATAGAGCAGTTGGTAAATAATGCTAAGCATGCAGTTCTGTTACCACTAGGTGACCTCTCCCGTACGCTGTACACAAAATACGGCCTTCACTTCAACAGATTGGGCAAAAATAAAATTGCTTGCATGTTGCGAGATATTTTTTATCCACAACCCCAAGACCCATCTTACAATGAGTTAACATTTGAAGAAAACATGGTTGATGTTAGGGACGAAAATATGAGACAAACTTTTGAAAAGTATAAAGCTGACTCCACAGTTGCGTTTGCTCATACTATTTCTGCCGACATAAACTGTAATAGAAACATGAGCGCCGGAGTGGCAGTTACATTTAGACAAACATTCGGAAGGCCAAAAAAAGAAGATTTCATTGATACTAAATTAACTTGTCAGGTGATAAATGAGGGTGCCAGTATTTTTAGTTTGGTGACAAAGCCTGAATATTTTCAAAAGCCAAAATATGATGATTACAAGGAATCTTTTTCACAGCTCACAAAACATTTTAAAATCCAAAAACTAAAAACCTTGATTTGTTCGCCGATGGGCTGCGTGCGAGATCATATTAAGCTTCACCAGTTTGTCTCAAATGCCCTATATTTTCATGTACAGACCGGAGCTAGGATCATCATCATCTCCCATGACCAGGACTCTGATCGAGTATTGAGAAATGGACTGTCTCATTCAGCTTTTCTGTCAAGACTTAGAAAGGAAATACAGAGGCATACAAAGTTGTCAGCTACTGAGCAGGATGCTGCTATGTCTGAAGCTGTGGCGACTCCAGGTCCATCACCCCACCATGACCATCCAACATCTCAGAGGCCAGACGATGATGTGCCTACCCTGGCCAGCCTCAACACCTTCCCTCCACTCACCCCATCACACTACCAGTTACAGCATAGTGAAAATATCAAGTGCAAAAGTGGTAGTGAAAAGCAGAGTACAAGTGATACCCAGGGTAATATTGATCTGCCAAAGACTCCCATTTCTGGCGGCAATGAGAATGATTTTTTATAGATAGGAAATTATTATTGTCAAAAAAGATACATTCAATTGATAATGAAATACACATAAATAATAGTCAAAATAACATGGATGATGTTCATTTAACTAACAAAAAACGACTGGAAAGTCAAACTTTTATGAATTTGGATTTTGAAAACCCACTAGACATCTCTGAAAATGTATCTTTTTTGCCAAATGGTTGTTTGAGGTGTAAAGATACTACTGTAAATAATGTAAAAATGTTCAAAAATAACACCTCCTCTCCTATTGTAACAAACAAACATTCCTCTAACGTATTAATTCTCCATCAAAATATCCAGCATTTTTCATCTCGTACTTTATCCCTTGAAATTATTTTAGACGAACTAAAGCCCCATTTTGTTATTCTTAGTGAACACAAGCTCAATAATGATGAAATTAGTTTTGCACACATTTCTAACTATAATATTGTAAGCTATTACTGTAGGAAAACCTACTTAGGTGGAGGTGTTATGATTCTTTCTCGTGACTGTAACCATATTAAAGTAAAAAAAATTATAATTCCTGCAGTTGAAAATTTGGTTAAGGATAAGTATTTTGAATGTTGTATGATTGAGGCGAGAGTTAATGATTTCATATTTTTATTGGTTGGTTTGTATAGAACTCCAGGATCTGTATACGAAAATATTTTTCTTGAAAAATTAGATAGTTTGTTAGGCCTTATTTTTGAAAAATATGAAAGAGTAATTGTGGCTGGAGACATTAATATTAACGTTCTTAAGTTTTCCAAGGGCTATCAGATATTCAATAATATTTTAAATGAATATAATATGCATTATTTGGTAGACTTTCCTACTAGAATAACATTAGAGGGTGAAAGTGGTATTGATAATATATTTACTACAATTCCTAAAAACAATCTTTTAGTATCAGGCCTAATCACTGAGCTCTCTGATCATGACGCTCAACTCTTAGAAATTCGGGACATCTCTTCTAAACAAAAGTTTAACAAACCTACTATTAAATCTAGTAGAAAATTCCTTCCTGAAAATTTAACCAAATTCAAAAATTATCTTGCACAGGAAACGTGGACTGATTTATATTTAGCGACTGTAGAGGAAAAATATGATGTATTTTTTAATATCCTTATGTTTTATTTTGATAGTTGCTTTCCTAAGTTAAAGTCTCGTGCCTGTTCAAAATCAAAAAATTGGATTACTCCGGAACTTAAGTTAGCTAAAGATGAAATAATACTATTAAGCCGAGAAATTAGGGTAAATAAGGATAAGTTTTTAATAAAAAAGCTAAAAGACCTGAAAAGAAGCTACGCAGCCC